AGAGAGAGGAAATGTAATATATATATATATATATATATATATATATATATGGAGGAAAAGATGTAACTAATAACTGATACAATAAAAGTTAATAAAAATGAAAACGCTACCACCACTTGTCTAAATAACTGGATTTTTCTGTATCCTTGGAAACAGTGAATTATGAACTTTTGTGTGCGTTTAAAACTCAGTAAATTTTAAAAAATAAGTTACTCCAATATTCGCTTGAAGATTAAATGGAACTAATGTTTTTAATTTAATTACAAAATTAAATTTGAAGTTTTTAACTTCCATTTTTGAAATATGGTTATTACTGTGTAGCGAAAAAAACATATTTTAAACCAGTTAATTTATAATATTTATGCTCTGTAAATTTTAAATTTACATTGAGCACTGTTTTGTAAAAATAAAAAATATCAATACGAACACCGGATTATATATCTTATTGCTCTTTATATATATATATATATATATATATATATATATATATATATATATATATATATATCCGTTCAGTTTTCCCTAGAGAACATATAGAAATCGACCTGGCCAACGGTTGAATAAGAAAATACAGACATTCCACTTGTGTGATAATATTTACGCACAAAGAATATAAATTCGTCTGAGTTAAGACATCGTATCATCTTCTACTCAAAGCGTGCGATCTTTTACAATACGAAAAAGAAATCAACCCTTGTATAATGAATAACAAACCTCTGTTAATTATGTAAGCAATATTACGTAATCTTACGACAATCCTTGAAGTCCATATTCATTTCACTCGGCTAATGCGTTGAGAGGGACAAAAAACAGAAAAGAATGAACGCATGAAAGAAAAGAAAGAAAATAAGTGTTATATTTACTAGGACTATTAAATAAGTAATATTTTTACACAAGCCCAACGTTTGCTGACGTTATGATATTGCTTCTCCCGAAAAAAATATTCCTCCCTGAAAAGTGTTAGTCAAGCAATCTCCTATTCTTTAAGCTTAACTCTATCGTCCAATTTACACTTCTCTCCGGTCTTTTGAACAGACGTAGAGGTTTATCCCTTGTTTCCTGCTTAGGATTGAGTTTCCAGTTCCTTCTAACATCTCTGTCCAAATTCTGAAATTTCTTTTAATATTTATTTTTTCTCAATAAGATTAGATAGCTTCACCAATCGTCTGGTTCACACTACTTGTTAGACATTTTGACGGTCGTCTTCGAGTATAGAATCCAGAGGTTAGCAGTGAATATTTCGGAGACAGTAGGAAATCGTAGTACAGGTTCGCAGTGGATATCGCAGCAAAGTAGCAGAGCGTAGTTCTTCCTTCTGTCAACTTCGCCTGACAAGTTGGCACTGGTCATTCGCGTAGGGTAAACAAAATGGTCGCCTTTATACACGACGGATACAATGTTCTGCGGCTTCTGATTGGTTAATCTTCTATTGGTAGACTATAAAGGGAGTTAAGTCATTTTGACTAACTCACTAGTTACACATATATATATATATATACACAAAAAACTGTAACACTACCCCCTGTTTTTTGGACAGGAGTAAAGGTTTATCCCTTGTTACCTGTTTAGGATTGAGCTTCCGGTTCCTTCTAAATACTACTTCAACTCTTCGCTCTGATGTCTCCGCCTAATCTCGAAATTTATACTATTATTGGATTTCATGTTCCTTCTAAAGTGCTTTCCTTCTCTTTCACTTGCGTCTTAGTGACATTATATCCTTGCTTGTGATGAATTGATGAAAAACTCCCTAAATTTTTTTTACATTCTAAAATTATTTTATGGCTTTAAATAACCGGCAAAAGGTTGATAAACCGTAAAAAAAAAACAAAGTATTAGTATTGTTCATCACTAACATTTTTGTCGAGATTTACAAACTCTAAGTTTTGTTCAACTTCGCAAATTTGATGAAATTTGAATAATCTGGCTTTTTGGAAAAATACTTTGACAATGACTGTAATTTTCGGTTTAATAAGTTTAATTTAATTTTACAGAACTTCATGTTAAACAATATTTTTTAAGAAAATTTCTTTTTTTCCTCTTTCCTTTTTAACAGCGAAGAATAAATTCTTAGGATTTCTTACTCTTGAGCATGCAACATACAACTGGCCATGAATAAATATTTCTTTCTGGAGCCAAATTCTAAATGTTTGCAGCATTTGGCCCTGTGATTTGTTTATAGTTCTTGCAAACGCAGGGCGAACTGGGAATTGGATTCTTGTATATATAAAAACATGAAGAGAAGATATGTAAAAAAAAAAAAAAATACTGCATTTTTATTAAATAAGTATTTGATATCTTAATTATTAAATTGTCTTTGAAATAATAGAAGTATTTTGTATGTTAAATAATAAAACTTTTAATTTTTTTTTTAAAGTTAATGAAAATTTATTGTACTAAGATTTGCATCCATGGTAAAACCAACTGTACTTTACCTGTTTGCATTTCTTCCCAAAATTTGATTTCTATCGATCAATGTATGGCTATTTTAGAGGATGTGAGAGACGGATGGGCAGACGGACTAACGGAAGTCAGGGAATTTTATATATAGATAATAATTAAAAATGATTATTTTCTGAACAACCAAACAAAATAATTTTAGCAGACTCACGATTAAAAAGGAACATGGAAATCATTACCGTTTTAGTAATACGGAAAACCAGACATTTTACGGACTAAACACATTGGGTCCTAGCAACGATTTTTACGGTAATTGTTGTCTCTTAACAGACGCTATATTCTTCATTATATCGAGATTAATATTACTTTTTTGTTCCCTTTCGACCAGAAGAAACATGTCATTTTTTTTGTTCCTGTCAATTTGTTGGTGGTCTCTTATTTTTAAAAGGCTTTTTGTTCGTACCGGGCTACCCCGCTACTTGAGATGTTTGCTTGTTCCTTAAGTCACCCACCCGTCGACTGAAAAATTATCTCCGGCCCTTTACCTGTTCTGTGCGGACTTTCCTTGATGAGTTGGCCAAGGTTCGGATTCACGAAGGAACCTCTCCAGCACCCCAGACACTGACGCCATGTATTCAATTTCTCGCCGTTAAAAACCAATAAGAAATTGCTGATTAAATAACTGTTTTTCATTGTTATTTCTTGTACAGGAGTTCGTTTATATCCGTAAGCGGACTAACTTTTCTCCTCGTTTTAGATGGGAAAAGGTGCCCGGTCACAAGGATTCCAACCCGGCGGCAACACGTTCTTCATCGCACCAAGACGGGTGGTATCGGTGTAATATCGACGACAGCGTGACAGTGATCGTGGAGACTAGGCAGATTTTTTTTTTTTTTTTTTTTTTGTCTTTTGTCCATATGCATACGTAGCGTACATTTCTATGTATAAGGCAACCTATAGATAAGACGAGACCGAAAATTAAGTTTACGTGATTTTATCTGATATCCGTAGTATAAGGCGACCGAAAACGTAGGCTAGCTTACGCCACTAATAAATATTAATCCAATGATAATGGCTCCTGCGTGTATAAAATAAAGTTGATATTATTACATATATTGATTTGCTTTACCTTTATCGTTATCAAATCAAAAGGAATAAAATAATATAAAGTATTTACATGAATCTTGTCTGAAGCCCATACTATGCACCTAAGGAAACGATCGTTCGAATTGACTCGATGATCCTAACTATGGTCGACTCCATTTGTTTTCTGAAAAGAAAATTAACGTTTTAAATCTTATGAATCGTACGAATAAAAAGTTGCGTATTCTGTAATAAGAAATAAAGATTTCATGGTGTTATATAGGAATAAAGTGTCGTTGCGACCACTGTAGTTTGAACGTAGATCGCCAGAGATCAAACACAGGCGATCCCATTATTCAATTAAGTGGACCACGTGACCATAGAGAAAACGCATATATCGGAGGTAGCACGAGGTCTAAAAGATCGCCACTTCTAGTTTATCCTCTATTAATATTCGGATCGCTATTTCTACTCTATCCTCTATTACTATATGGACCGCTATTCTCTACTCTATTTACTATACTATTTCTAGTTTATCCTCTATTACTATTCGGATTGCTATTTCTACTCTATCCTCTATTACTATATGGACCGCTATTCTCTACTCTATTTACTATACTATTTCTAGTCTATCCTCTATTATTATTCGGATCGCTATTTCTACTCTATCCTCTATTACTATATGGATCGCTATTCTCGACTCTATTTACTATACTATTTCTAGTTTATCCTCTATTACTATTCGGATCGCTATTTCTGCTCTATCCTCTATTACTATATGGACCGCTATTCTCGACTCTATTTACTATACTATTTCTAGTTTATCCTCTATTACTATTCGGATTGCTATTTCTACTCTATCCTCTATTACTATATGGACCGCTATTCTCTACTCTATTTACTATACTATTTCTAGTTTATCCTCTATTACTATTCGGATCGCTATTTCTTCTCTATCCTCTATTACTATATGGACCGCTATTCTCTACTCTATTTACTATACTATTTCTAGTTTATTTATTAAAGCGAATTCGATTCTCACGGGGAGCTCTGCCACCGAGGCGTTGTGCCCAGCAAAGTTAAGATTATTAACAAAAATACTACAATAAGCTGATTCCCTACAATCTAAACAATTTAATAAATGCCTATAGCTTTCTCTGATTGGTTGATTTGTTTTTTACGGCTTATCAACCTTTTATTACCCATGGACCCCTTTCCCCTTCTTTTTATCTTGGTGTTTATTTAAGGCCAGAAAATATTTTTAGATCTTAAGAATTTTTTGAAGATAATACTGATTTCATTCCTACTTTATTTAAAGCAGTTTATTTAAGGCCAGAAAATATTTTTAGATCTTAAGAATTTTTTGAAGATAATACTGATTTAATTCCTACTATTTAACCCATAACCTAGAGAGAGGTATTTGCGCGGAAATGAATGTAAAGCACCGGACGGAAATTGAAACTCGGCCCTCTAATTTCCAATTCAGGGCCGTTATACATTACACCACCGGCACATTCAAGCTTGCAGCACCTGGAATTCCCGAGCTGTCACCCATGTAGGCACTGATCAGGCTCGACGTTGCTTAACTTCGGTGATCGTACGAGAGTCGGTGTTTCAACGTGATATCTCCGTAAGCGGGAGTAGAGAGGAATTAATACCATATTGTCCTTCTCCTAGACTAGTGGATCTCAACCTTTTTTTACCCATGGACCCCTTTCCCCTTCTTTTTATCTTGGTGGACCCCTTCATAGCTATTGGACATAAGAACAATTTTCTATTCTTCACTAATATAAATTTTAAGGTTTTAATTATCAAAGAAATAGTATACGATTAAGCTTTATTTTTAAATGAAAACTAATTTAATACAAATAAAATATTCTACTATAATTATAATAATAATTATTATTACTATTTTTAATTAACACAACAATTGAGTTTTGCCTGTGGACCCCCGGTTGAGAACCACTGTCCTAGACGAATGGCCAGCCAAGGCCGAAGAGTAAGGTCTACCCTGCTATTTAAACTCATAATTGGCGGGGACAAAGGATGGATTCTTAGCTTTCCCAACGTTATTTGCGCGAAAATGAATGCAACTAATACGACACGAATTCGAACTCGCCTCTCCGATGCCGCTTATCTATTGCACCACCCACACATCCAATTTCTGTTAAGCGAGAATAAGAAATAAAAAGAGCGGCGAAGTACAAGAAAAGCAGTGAAAGTTGCAAAATGCAAAACACGATGACTTGATAGAAGCATTAAGTGAGAATAACAACATGGCTGAAACCAAATATGATGCTCGTAAATTCTGCAACGCTTGCTTACGTTTCATTTACTTCTGTTTGCATTTTCTGTTGGGTTCGCGGATTTTATGACATATCAATCTTCGTTGTGTTATTTAATGTCGACATGTGCCTTTTATTATATTTGAGTCTATAGGTAAACCTTCGTCGTGTTTATACTTGAGCTTATAGGCAAACATTGATCATATAAAGTGAATCTCATTTTATACTTGAGCCTATAGGTAAACATTCATTGTGTTTATACTTACGCCTATAGGCAAACATTGATCATGTAAAGCGAGTCCGATTCTATACATGAGCCTATAGGTAGACATACATTGTGTTTATACTTGCGCCTATAGGCAAACATTGATCATGTAAAGCGAGTCCGATTCTATACATGAGCCTATAGGTAGACATTCATTGTGTTTATACTTACGCCTATAGGCAAACATTGATCATGAAACGCGAGTCCGATTCTATACATGAGCCTATAGGTAGACATTAATTGTGTTTATACTTACGCCTATAGGCAAACATTGATCATGTAAAGCGAGTCCGATTCCATCATTGAGCCTACTGGTAAACATTCATTGTTTTTATGCATGAGTCTATAGTAATGTAAAGCAAGCTTGGTTCTATATTTGAGTCAAATCCAGAATAACAATTTGATTCTATTCAAGAACACACAGAATGTGCTGCCCTTACTATTTACATGAAGAGGAAAATACACTCATACACCGTATTTCATATTCAATGCGAAACAAAAGATTCATAAAATATTTCAAAATAGAAAAGCAGTCTTTCCTGATAAATCAATGGAATCAAAATATATTGTTCTACCCACCAACTCTATGACAACTACAATTGATTATTTAGATATATAATCGTCCTATTGCTTATAAGTTTTAAATATAGAATGCCAAAACGTTGTCATAACAACAAAGATGAGAGCAATAGTCCGCGTGTAAATAGTGTAAATAATACTACATTAGCTAAACAAACTACAGATTTGTTTTTTCGCAATCTGTAGACATCTAAAGATTTTTTTTTTTTGTTGAAGCTTTTAAAATTCCGGCATATTTTATTTTATTTATTTACTGTATATATATATATATATATATATATATATATATATATATATATATATATTGAACAATAAAAAAAACATTAAAATCTTCAGACACACTGGGTTTGTAGATTAATATTCTTTCGTTTTTTTTATTATTATTTCATTTAGATTCCTCGACTAGTTTCGACCGAAATGGCCATCATCGGGAGAAGAAATATTTCTGCTTACTGGTAGCAGTAAACTAAAGAAATGAATGTCTTGATGGAAAAAATGAACTTTTGTCTATAGTTTTCATTTGTTTTTTTTTTATTTTTTTATCTTTTTTAACATGAATCTTTTAACATTCCTTGTATTGGTCAAACAGTCTCTTTTAAGTTGTTATTTGAGATAAGAGCTGGATGGATCTATGCTTCTCTGAATTCCTCTGGTCAGTTTGACAGTTTTATTGGTCCTGGTGAGGGGATGTGTCTCTGTTAAGTGTTTGTGTGTGTGTTATTTGGTTCTTAGGAAGTGAGTGAGTATGATATGTGTAAGCGTGTGTATTGCTGTGGGTGTGTGTTATCATTTGGCTCATTAGGGAGTGAGGGAGTATGATGTGTGTAAGTGTGTATATTCGTGTGGGTGTATAGATTCTTCTTAAAATAAAAGAAACAATATATATATATATATATATATATATATATATATATATATTCTTTTTATTTTAAGAAAAAACCTCTCAAGTTTAGGATTCTATTAGATCAAAATCTTTGCATTCCAATTCAATATTCTCTGCTATTTAACCGAAAATATTGTGTTTTTTTTAATCGCGTGTTAGATACATTTTTAAGAAATGTTTTAATCCAACAAAACTTTTTCATTCTATACATGCCTGGTAGTTGGCACATTTCTTCTATAAATAAATAAATAAATAAATAAATAATTCGACAGAATATCCTTATCTTTCTTGGTCTGCTATAAGTTTTCCACCAATCTGTATTACATCAGTTAATTGTTGGACCATCGTTTATCCACTCCGCCATTTTTGTGCGTGTGTTAAAAACAGCAACAAAAATACGTGTCCTATTTATTTATAAACTGTATTTTTTTTCGCTTTCTTTTCAGTTCTATGAAATTTGAATCCCCGAAGAACTATTTCATCAGTCCCTGAATTCCCAAATAGGTGTTAATTTCTTTAAAATAGAACTATTAAATAAATAAATAAATCAAAATGCCGGCAGAAAGAAAGATATTTTGATGGCGCTATTTTAAAATTTTCAAAGACACTGACCTAGTTGAATCAAAAATTAATCAGACACTTGAACAAAAAGAAAAAAGCTTACATACAATATTATTAAACACTTTACAGTACACCTTGTTTTTATATGACTGCGTTAAAAAATTTTGTAAAAATAAAACGTTCTAAAAGAAAAACATAGTAACGGAAAATAAATTACCACCACAAATTGCGGTAAAAATAATTAAAAAAAAACACATTTAGAATAATTTACTTGTCTCCTTTTTAGCACAATTTTTTTGTGTCTTCTTTCAGTAAGACATACATTCATTCCTATCATACCTTTCTTTCTCTGTTTTAATATGGATTGTAGATCAACTAATTTGCAATGCAGTTTTATCGCATTTGAATATATATATATATATATATATATATATATATATATATATATATATATACCCAGTGTGTATAAAAGATTTCAATTTTTAATATTTTTTTATTGTTCAATATATATATATAGAGAGAGAGATAGTTTATGCAAAATAGATAGATAGATAGATAGATAGATAGATAGATAGATAGATAGATAGATAGATAGACAATATTAGTGGTAAATATACGCATACATATGCAAAATATATAAATATATATATTTTTTTTATTTTTTTTTAATTTGTAGGTTTGATGAATTGGATCGTCTTTTTATATTCCAATGGAATAAATTATGACCATGGAATATTAGTGTTTAAGCCTTTTTATTATATATATATATATATATATATATATATATATATTTGGTTGGGTTGATCTGAGTTTGTGACCCTGGGTTTCACGCTTTTGCGATCGTCAGACAAAATTGATATTCAGCGCTTTCTAATAAGTACTGCGCATATAATATAAAAATAATATATATAATATATTACACATATATGTATATATACATATATATATATATATATATATATATATATATATATGTATAAATATATATATATATATTTATATACACACACCTTTCATATGTATGTATATATATATATATATATATATATATATATGTATGTGTGTGTGTGTGTGTGTGTGTGTGTGTGTGTGTGTGTGTGTGTGTGTGTGTGTGTGTGTGGGTGCTCAATATCAAAAATATTAAAATAATATTAAAAATAGAGCATTGATAATAGTATATACAGAAAAATTATTACTCAACTATAAATATCAATTTTTGATGTTACTTCCGCGATTTCGAAATTCTTTGGGATTATCAACAGATCCCCTTGAAGAATGTATAATTCCAAGACACTTCGAAGTCGGGGAAACACAATCAAAAATTCATATTTACAGTTAAGTAGAAAATTTTCTGTATATATATATATATATATATATATATATATATATACAAAGAAATAATCACACATAGAATCAATCAGTAATATTAATATCCGCAGTACAAAAAAATTCCCTATAAAAAACTACTACTAAGACAGAACACTATATTAATTGAACTATATACTTAGTTCATGACATATTAACTGAAAACACTTGCAAAAGAGAATACGTTGATTTACCACATCACAAGAAAAGTTCAAATAAAATTCTCACTTAAAATTTTGAAAAACTTAGCGTTGCGTCTTTGCACGTTCCGATATTGTACACAACCGTCAATAATAGCACATATTCAAAAAACATCTTTCGGTCGACAAACAATTATTTCGTCTTCAAGTTTTTGATTTTATAAGGAAAACTGACGATGAATAAAGGATTATTCGAAAGTACTTGCTTTTTAAAAAAATATAAACTGGAAACAACAGACAACAGTTTTATAAATGAGGATCACATCACTCTATGGATTAACAGTATTTTAATGCATACATTATACGCTACTAGTGATGGATGTCGCCAATAATACCATTAATATTACTGATTGATTCTTTGTATATAAATTATATGCTGCCTAATGTTTTATGTTTATATATATATATATATATATATATATATATATATATATATATATATATATTTGCACCAGGTCTCTGTATTCGTCCCTTCAAAAAGTGTGGATGATCCTG